TGGGTAAGAAGTGAGCAGATTTTGTCAGCCTATCCACGATAACCCATATGGAATCAAACTTATGAATTGTTCGTGGTAAACCAACTACAAAATCCATTGCTATACTGTCCCATTTCCATTCAGGTATATCTAAGGGTTGTAACATTCCTGTTGGCTTTTGGTGTTCTATCTTGGCCTTTTGACAAATCAAACATGTAGCTACATATTGTGCTACCTCCTTTTTCATTTTAGGCCACCAAAACATTCTCTTGAGATCCTGATACATTTTTGTTGCCCCAGGGTGTATACTCAACTTGCTCTTATGTGCCTCTCCTAAAATTATTTTCTTAATTTTTGAATCATTGGGCACACATATTCTATCATTAAATCTCAAAATCCCCCTTTTCATCTATATTAAACTTTTCACCACCCCTTTTTCCCAATAATCTCTTTTTCTTCTAAATGTATTTATCTACTGCCTGAGCCTTATTGATTTGTCCATGTAAATCACTAGTAATCTGCACTGCTTGCAAATGTATTCTATCATGACTTACCACAGTTGACAAATTCATATCTCTAAATTTTTCTATCAAATTCATCTCATGACTCATTAATGAAGAAATATGTAAAGATTTTCTACTCAATGCGTCAGCCACAACATTGGTTTTTCCTGGATGGTAATGTAATTCAAAATCATAATCTTTTAAAAATTTCATCCACCTTCTTTGTCTCATATTCAGTTCCCTTTGATCAAATAAATATTTTATTTTATGATCACTGAAAACATCAAACTTAGCACCATACACATAATGTCTCCATATCTTGAGTGCAAAAACAATGGCAGCTAGTTCTAGATCATGGGTTGGGTAATTCTTTTCATGAGCTCTCAGTTGTCTGGAAGCATATGCTACTACCCTTCTATCTTGCTTAAGAACACACCCTAATCCCATTTTTAGGCATCACAAAATATGACAAATTGTCCATTAGGATTGGGTAAGGCTAAGACTGGTGCAGTGGTTAATCTTTTCTTAAGCTCTTGAAAACTATTCTCACATTTTTCTGTCCACTCAAAAGGTTTCCCTTTCTTAGTGAGTTGAGTTAAAGGCATAGCTATTTTAGAAAATCCTTCAATGAATCTCCTATAAATCCTGTCAAACCTAAAAAACTAAGGATTTCTGTCACCATCTTTAGAGGTTCCCATGGTAGAACTGCTTCTACTTTAGACGGATCTACTCCATCTTTTGGAAATCACATGTCCTAAAAACTTAACCTCCTCTAACCAAAATTCACACTTAGAAAGTTTGGCATACAATTGTTTATCTTTCAGGATTTGGAGAACAGTTTGAAGGTGTTCTTCATGCTCTTCATGAGTTCAAGAATATATGAGGATATCATCTATAAAGACTACCACAAAATGGTCTAAATATGGACGAAAAATCCTATTCATATAATCCATAAACACTGCAGGTGCATTGGCTAACTTGCAGAGCATTGAAACCTCGAAAAAACAAAAAGTAGGCTTAGACGGTACTAAAACTGTAAGTGAATTATCAATTTTGAGGTTACTTACTTACTCGAATTTTATAATCACATTCATTATTTCCAATATCAGGTCTCAACTACAAAAAAGCAGGATAAAGAGAAGGCAAAGATGGTCATTCCCCTTTCTAAGAGACCTAAACAACCTTCTGGCGAGAAACTGCTTAAAGATGCCATGAAGTCTGTTCCCAAGGTATTTCGACTCTTATTCTTGTCTCTCTCGTCTAATACTTCTCTTATGCTTCTAACTCTTCTAACATTACCTTAATAGGATGTTGAAGTTATCCATCTTGATTCTTCTCGAGAGCTGTCTCGAGAAGTGCAAAAAGACATGTTCCCTGTTATTGAGGCACCCCAACAGGTTTATCATCTTGTCGTCTCTTTAGATTCCTCTTTACTTATCTTCTTTTTTGATGCTCAGCTTTACTTTTTATTTCGTTAGTTGCCTGCTCCCCAAGTAGATGCTACGGTGCTTGCTTCTGTTATGGCTTCAAAAGAAATTACCCCTCAGGTCGAAGAGGGTAGGGTTCTTCAATCAGGCCCTTTGATTAACGCGGAGACGCGACAAAATTCTGCTCAAGGTGAACCCTCTTTTGAGCTACAACCTCCTTCCAGTCAGAACAAGTGTATATTTCTTTCGACCTGACTATTTGTATGATGGCCTCTTACTGAAATCTTACAAATCTTCCATTGTGCAGGTTCGACTGAGTCTCCTCGACCCTTTGCAACTTCCCCTTCGACTCAAGGCAGGGTCACTTCTTTTGTCCAAGGTCTTTCATCAATTCCTTCTCCGGACCTTGACTTGATGAGCTTTTTCGACGACGAAGATGAAGATATCAATAGTATCTTCGAGGTCTTGGATAACTGGACAAGTGGTCCTTCTAGGTCGGAGAAGGAGAAGGAGAAAACTGTCGAGCAAGTCTCTGAGGTTCCTTCATATCAACCTTTG